ATATATTTCTAATATATAGGTTCAATATTTTTAACCGAAACACATATTTCTCATATAATATTGTATTTAAAAAATAGACTTTATTACATTATATATGCGTAGTACATATACATATTTACAAGTGTGATTTAATGGATGCGTTTCGAGTTACGCATAAAGCGCATGATGCACCATTATTTGTCCTTGCGAATAAATAAAAAAGAAAGATAAGATACATTGCGAACTCGCATCCAATATTACATGAAGAATACATCGCAAAGTCATTGATGCAACAAAAATCAATGTAAGATTTCGGGGACTATAAAGTTGATACGCATTTGAGCGACGCTTATCAATACTTTATTACCATGCAGTATGCACTTTACAGTCCCCGAAATCTTACTCACAATTTTGGCTTTGGATAGACCTGATCTAATGCAATGAAATGCAATGATATGCAAACAAAAATTACTATTATAATCTAGCTGTTTATATTTGAAAATTAAAACTATATAAGATTGAAAAATTAAAATTGATGGAAACGATAATTACAGTACATGAAAATTATTTCAAATTTAGAATCTTTATACAATTCACAGTGAGCTTGTTCAGCGAAATTGATGATATATTTTATGAAACATATTACAATTACTTAAGAAAATGAGATTTTTACGATTTTAATCTCAGCAATAAAAATAAGTAATAAAGTATTAGGTGTAGTCATCGCGTTTTTTTAAAAGACATCTATCAGTAAAAACCGCAATTACTTTCTTACCAACAATATAAACATATCTTGATAGAGTAAAGTTTCAGCTTTAAGAATCTCTTTTTTAAATTATACGATACGACAATTTTTAATGGAGTTATGAGCAATTAAAGTCAAAATAATTCTTTTATTTAATCCGCGATAACTCAGTAATCAAAAGTCGTAGGAATATTAAAAAAAAACGATTTTGTAGAGAAAGTATTAAGCTTTCACGATAGGTAATCGAAAATTTTCTCAAATTCGTTTTGGACACGTTACAAATCCACAAAGTGAGAAGAAAATTTTTCGTTTTTTTCAGCTCGTAGTTTTTGGTATGTAAAAATTATCAAACTCATATAAACTTAAAAAATGTGATAAGCTTTTAAAAGTAGAGATTTGAAGCTTTAAAACCCTTTTTTTAAATTTGAATTTCATTCATTATTGACGAAGATATTGTATATACAACTTTGAGCTAAAAAATACGCGATGACTTTTTACTACACCTAATATTATTCCATTTTTACATTGAAAATTCCTGGCTGGTTAATAAGTAAACCTGGTATTTTTTCGTTGTCAGATATTGCTTTCTCTTTGTTCTCACTTTTTGGTAACAACAAAAGTGCGTTTGAACCTATGATGTTACATAGTTTATCTTTGAAAAGATTACCCATACTACAAGCCATTGCTACATTATTTTCAGACCACTTTAAATGTGTACACGCAAGTCTAGGACGATGATGTAGAATAAATGGATTTTTTACCTACAATTTTATAAGAACATCATAATATTAAATGGATCTTTCTATATTTTACGATATTATATGTGAGATTATAAACTTACATAAACTGGTACGGGTATAGGAGTTTCCGCGTATTTAACGCAAGATATCTTTTTTAGAAAAGGTAAAACGAATACTTGCGCGACAATGAAAGCAGTTACCGGATTTCTCGACAAACACAAGAAATATTTTATTTTATTCTTAAACTTGCATGTAGCTAATGTAGTTGACTTCCCCGGTTTTATATTTATATTACCTGAAAGAAATGGGTACAGTTGTAAAAGATTTTTTTATATGTTGAAAATTAACGAGAAAAATAAGAGATACCAAAATATATGTTGGCATCAAAGTATTCTAGTAAGATTTTCTTCAATAAATCTTTGTCATTAGCACAGCCTAATGTCACAAGTATATCTACTTTATCTAGAGCTTCCTCGATATTCTTTTGTATGGATAATGTTCTGCAAAAATTAATTACTTTTTTAAATTATTAGATATCATGGAAAGTTTGTGTCGTTTTTTATCAAGAGATGTTTATAGGGAAAAAAAAACAACACGAACTTTCCGCGATATCTAATATTTATATAATTATGAACAAAATTTTGTAAAAAAAAGGACCTATTAAAGTGATGTAATAGTTTGCATATTTGAAATTGTAAAAAATTGTCAATGCTCTCACGTATTATTCACGATTCCAAAATCTGAAGAAGAGAAATGGTTATCTTTTAGTAGTGAAATTATAATTATTCTGCTAATATCGTAAATGTATCCTGGATTTAAAGGTTTTCCGGGTTCTTCTAAGTTATTGCCGATGGATAATACACCTATAGACAACTGTTGAGCGACTACAACTTCTTTATAGCCAGAAGCTGCCAAGACTCCCATCTCTTCTGGGCCAATACGTGTGTATTGTTTTAAGATAAGTTTTCCTTTCATTATATTGTAACCAATAGGACTTGGAAATAAATATATAGATAAATAAAATAACTTATTTCGATAAATATAAAAATAAAATTTTGTCTAGTATGAAAATATTGAATTTATACTTAATGTTTTCCCCATGTTGTGGTTTATTCATTACTTCAATATACACTTTGTCGTTGTTTAGATGAGATATAATCCGTTTTGTATATTTCTCTTCTACAACCGCTGTTGCTTCTGTAATCGGACACAAATGGTAATTGATCCTTTATTATAAATGATGAATCAATGTAATTATAATTTCTAATTATTTACCGTTAGGAACAGGTGCTCCACTCTTCACCCATACGCACGTTCCACATTGAAGCGAAATCGGAGGAAACTGAATAAGTTTTATTTAGTTCTAATTAATTCTAATAATTGTAACTTGTTGCATATACATATGCAACAAAAATATATATGTACATATAAAATATAGAGATATACATCGAATTTATCTTACCGTATTATTATTGTTCAACACTTGTCTCATTCCTTTTCCATCAGATACTAGCACTGCGTATCCATGCTTTTTGGAAGATCTAAATGATGGCATGTTATATTTCGAATAAACATTTTCAAATAATATTTTACCATAAGCATCACTTATTTTTACCGATTCAGTATTGTTAATTATACCTGCTTTGGGTATTTCATTTATTAATAGTAATGCATCATTTAAAGAAATTAGAGGCGTCCATTCCATATGGCGATTGTTTGCATTATTATACTCTGTACTCTATAAATAATTTTAATTGTATATATTTATAATATTATAAAATTATTATTTGTTGTGCTTAGAAATATCTTACTTCTGTAGAACTACTTCTATGTGAAACAGAAGAACTATTAGGTTGTTCGGAAAGTAATTTCGTTTTTTCCCAACAGAGGACTTATTGTATTTTTTCACAGCCAACTTCACACTTAAGCCGCATAATCATTATATATTTTGACAGCTGATATAGCAAGGCTTGCTTGTGAAAAAAGTTCGATTGATTCTACGCAGTAGTTTTTGGTTGGTGCCCTATCAAATATGAAAGTGAAAAGCAGCATTTTCGGCATATTTTATTTTTTTACTATCGAAAAGGTAAAAATGCTGTTCGAGCAAGAAAAAAATTATCCGATGTGTATGGAGAAGATGTATTGACAGAACGCCAGTGCCAAAACTGGTTTGCAAAATTTCGATCCGGCAATTTTGATGTTGAAGATGCACCACGTTCTGGAAGGCGAGTTGAAGCTGATGAAGACACAATAAAGGCATTAATTGAGGCAAACCGGCGAATAACAACTCGTGAGATCGCTGAGAGATTAAATTGATCGAATGCGACCGTTCATGATCATTTGAAACGCGTCTGATTGAAAATCGTCTTTCATTTTCATAAGAAAAAACGAAATTACTTTCCGAACAACCTAATAGGAAAAGGAAAATCCTTTAAAGTTTCATGATTCTCAAGATCAATTTTGTTTGCATCTTCATCTTTTATCTATACAAATAGATTAGTCTTATAGTCTGTGTCTATATCATCTTATAAATTTGTTTTACCTTTATTAATTTTAATATAGACAATATACTTTACCTGCTCTGAAACATTATTATTGGAAAAATCGACCGACTCAGTCTCTTCGTTCTCATCATCTTCGTTGCGTATTAAATGCAATGTATTTATCAGTGTATCTGTAATTGCTGCAATGCAAACATCATCTTTGCCGGGTAAAGTAATGATTAACGTCTTGTTTCGTATTCCACATACAGTTCTGACAATAAATCAATTATAAGAGTTTTGTGTGTGTGTGTGTGTGTGTGTGTGTGTGTGTGTGTGTGTGTGTGTGTCTGTATAAATTTCAAAATTACAACGTAAATAAAAATAAAAGTTTACCTGTAACTTGTTATCTGCTCCAAATTTCTTTCTATCTTCTTTATCGAAATTGCTAGAATTTTAGAAAGTTCTTTGGGATTAATAATTATAGTTTTAATCGCTTCATTTATACATTCTCTGTCAGTAGAGTCAATGTGACCAGTAATAAAAATGACATCAGCTTTATTATTTGCGGATATTGAAAGTAATCTTTTCTATATCAATTTTATGATAAAATAAAATTTAAGACAAGTATATTTAATAACGTAAATATATTAAATTTATTATACATATTTATTATAGATATAATTACCATTATGGTAATTTTAATTGGTTCTGCAATTATTACATCGATTACTTTTAGATTAGGTATAGCAGTCACTGTGTCATGAATCTTGTTATATTTTATAATATATTGCGGGTCACATAAAAGATTTTTGTTTTCTTCTACGTCATGTCGATTTCTATACATCCGAGTTGTTTTATTTACTAAACAGATACACAATAATATTATTAGATTTTTAAAATATATTAATTAAGTTTAAAGATATATGTGTGTATATATTTTTATAATTTGTCTCAATATATATATA